AAATTTTGAATATTTCCCCCCTGACCATGATCCCCTCCACCCCCGTATTGGCGCGTACCGTCCGGAGAAGGGGCTCCAGGGAGAGGGCAAACAGCAGGGGTGACAGAGTGCACCCCTGTCGCGTGCCGTTAGTGATAGGGAAGCATGGGGGTGGGATATTAGGCAACAGGAGTGCCCCCTGGGGGTCGTGGTATACCGCTGTCAGGAACGAGGTGAATTCTGGTGGTAGTCCTATGTGTGTCAGAGTTTGGTGTAAGAACTGCCATGTGAGGCGATCGAAGGCCTTTTCGGCATCGAGCGATATGACTGCTGTTGGGATACGTCTATGGTTGGCGAGCCAAATGAGGTCAATGGCCCTCCGGGTGTTGTCCGCTGCCTGTCTCTGGGGTATAAAGCCCACCTGATCGGGGTGTATGAGTGATCCCAGGTGTGGATTTAGTCTGTTTGCCATGACCTTGGTCATGAGTTTGAGATTAACATTAAGCAGTGAGATCGGCCTATAGTGGGCAGGTTCAAGCTGGTCCTTTCCGGGTTTGGGGAGGAGGCAAATGTGAGCCCTTGTCATGTCTGGCGGGAGGGTTTCCCCCCTCAATGTGGCGTTGAATACTCTGCATAAGTGGGGTAGTAGGATAGGGCTAAATTCTTTGTAGTATATGGCCGAGTAGCCATCAGGGCCCGGGCTCTTGTTTGGCTTGAGAGGTCCAAGTGCCTGTGCCATCTCCTCCACCGTGACCTCCTGCCCTATCGCGGCCCTGGCCTCCTGGGTCATGGAGGGCAGGGTCGCTTTCTGCAGGAATGTGTCTATGCGAGTGCGTAGGGGCTCTGAATCGGCTTGGGAGTGTCGGGTATGGTTATATAGGTTGGTGTAGTAGTCCTGGAAAATGCTACCTATGTGAGTTGGGTCATTGCTAACGTCGCCTCCTGTGGTGCGTATGGCCGAGATCCGTTTGGACTCTATTCGGTGTTTGAGTCGGCGGGCCAGCATAGTGTCCGCCTTGTTCCCTTTTTCGTAGAACGTCCGTTTTAGCCACATCAGGGCCTTTGAGGTGTCTTGTTGTGTGAGGGTTTTGAGGAGGTCCCGGGTCGCTGTCAGTTTAGTTAGCGTGGTGGGGTTAGGGTTCTTTTTGTGTAGGGTTTCTAGGCGGCGGAGTTCCGTCATGGCGTCAGTGATTTGCTGTTGTGTGTGTCTTTTTTTATGGGTGGCCAGGCTAATGAGAGTGCCCCTGATGACCGCTTTATGGGCGGCCCATATCATGGCGGGCGCAGTGTCCGCCTGTGTGTTTAGGTCAAAGTACTCTTTCAGCTCGTTAGCTATTTTGTCGGTGATTGATTTGTCATGCAGGAGAAGAGGGTTCAGTCTCCATGACCATTGTCGATAAATCGACGGTAGAGCGAGGGTGATAGCTATTTCTGCATGATCGGACCATGATATAGAGCCGATTTCGGATTTAGTGATTTGTGGTACTAAGTTAGGGGTCACCAGGATGTGGTCTATGCGTGAATACGTGCCATGCGGGTGGGAGTAGAACGTGTAATCTCTGGTTGACGGGTGTTGTGCCCTCCATATGTCGATCAGTTTTTGTGAGGCGAGAAACTGGTGGAATAGGGAATCATTCTGCGACGGGCGAGAACGTGCCGTGGCAGTAGAGGTCCTGTCGGCGGCTGGGGTGTGGACTGCGTTGCAATCCCCCCCGACCACGAGTCGCGCAGTCGAGTAAGTGTTGAGGTGTGTAGTCAGTTGTTGCCAGAATGAGGCGTCTGGTGTCGTAGGTGCGTAGATCGAGGAGAAGGCGTAGGTTGTAGTGCCCACTTTCCCCTGTATGGTTACGTAGCGTCCCTGCGGGTCCCTGTTGCATACCACGTCTGAGAGGGGGCAGTTGGCTCTCAGAATAATGGCTACTCCCTTCGCTTTGGAGTCTGGGGAAGGGGCCATATAGCTCTTCGGGTAATGTCTGTTGGTGAGGGGGAAAGCGCGTTGGGCCGTGAAGTGGGTTTCTTGTATAAGTAGGATGTCTATGTTTTGTTTGTGAGCCCATCTTAGTATGCCATGTCTCTTGGCGGGGGAGTTCAGCCCTTTTGCGTTAATGGATACGCACCGTAGGTTTACAGGCATGGTGTTTTTGGTCTATCGCTAGGGCTCTGGGGTGGGGAGTGTGAAGAGGTTGGGGGCCGCGCTCCCGGGCGGTCCGAGGCCTCGGGGATGGGGAGAGAGTGAGTGGGTGTTGGGGTTCTTATCTATGTGAAGGGCGGGGTTCGTGGGGGTTTTGGGGGTGAGGGTTGAATGTTAGTAGGGGTGATCCGCTGGGCTTATATTGTCGCCAGCGGTATGCGGGGTGAGCGTCTGTCCGCTCGGTGGGTGTTCGTACCCTAGTGGTGTCGTGTCGTCAGGGGTTGGCAATCTCTCTAGCAGAGTTGCCGGCAGGCAATGTGAGTATTGAATCGTATACGTTGGTAGGTGGTGGTCGGTCCGAGTAGTGATTGTGACAGTCATGTCTATCGTTCCTCACCTCGTATGAAGGTGTGGACGTGTATGGTCAGTGCGTCCGTGCCGCCAGGGTCTGGTGATGTGTTTCTAGCGTCTGCTTAGCGTTCGCTAGCTCCCTTGTCTGTGTCGCGTCCGGTGCGTCAGTGGGTGCCTTTCGTGGTGTGGTCGTGATCGGGTCCAGAGGAGAGATGATGTTACCACAAGAGAAAATGAGACATTTAGAAAAAATATACATAACATGCAGAACAGTGACAAACATTGCTGCGACAGTATGAGTGTACCATAATATGAATTGTCTTTGTGCTCTGGAAGATAGAGTGCCTCCAGTGATCTGTTGGGGCAGGGGGAAAGGTGCCCGGGGGCGTCCAGTACAGGGTGCCCCGTGTTCGTGCGGTGAGTGGCTTAGTTACGTGGTCCCCCCCCAGGGGTCAATCCCCCTACATTATTTTGGCTCGATGCTTGTCTGGAGATAGGCTTGCCGGCAGTCCAGAATCAGTGGTCTGCGTTAAATGTATGGGTTCGTGTGCAGTAGTATATCTGTGTCTGCATATTTTTTTTTTTCCTTTGTTCTTTTTGTCCCATTTTTAGTGTATTTTTCTTTTTTTGTTTTTCCCTTTTTTTTTTTTTTTTTTTTTTTTTTTTTTTTCCATAGTCCCCCCTATAGGGCCCGATTCCGTCTGTGTGCTAGGTTGTCTGGGAGGCTATGCTTGTGTGGGTTCCCTGGGTGCCTGCCTACAGGCAGGTGTCAGTTGCCGGGGTCAGCTGGGCGTGTTTCCTAGTGTCCCCTTCCCTCTTTAATGTCCAGAAATGGGGTTGGCATCCTGTGTCCCCTGTGGGGGTAGTGGTTTGTGTTTGGTTCCTTTGGGGAGTGTAAGAGTAGCGGGGTCCCATGGGTTCTGTGGTCAGCTGAAGTGGGTTCTTCTGGGGGTCTAGTAGTGGGCTCATTAGCGGCTGGGCCCGGGGGTCCTAGTGGTGCGTGTGTGGTGTTTTTTTGTTTTTTTTGTTTTTTTTCTCCCTTCCCCTGTTTCTTTGTGTTGTCCTCCTCCCTACCCCCCTGTTTTGTACCTCCCCCCTACCACGGATTTCATGCCGAGTTTTGGCCAAATGTAGGTTGTGCGCTAGGAAAGTTAAAAGCATAAAATATAAAGGCTGCCGCCATAATTAGTCCTGTTTAGGGTAAAGTCATAGCTTATCTGGTTCCGGGCGACCTGTGGTCAGACAGTTCGTGGTCTCCTGGCGTGCGATGCCGTGGGTCCGGTGGTCTGTGAGGTGTGTTTTCGGTTGTCCTGGCGGCGTGGAATCGGTGAGGGTCGTGTGGCAGGTGACGGTCCATGTCGTAGAGGTGCGGTCATCTGTACGTCCTTAGGTGGCCGGTTGAGGGTGAGGACTGCTGGGAGGTGGAGCCCTTGTCGGGTGCAGTATCGGGCCCCTCGGAGAAAGTATTCCTGCTGAGCGTCTGTCAGGCTGTTCGGTGGTGAGGTCGATGGCCGGAAGGCCCAGGCGTTCCGCCAATGCTGTGGCTTCGGAGATATGGTACAGAGTGTGTACCCGGTTGTTTTGTCTCACTTGCAGCTTGAAGGGGTGGCCCCATGTCGTAGAGGTGCGGTCATCTGTACGTCCTTAGGTGGCCGGTTGAGGGTGAGGACTGCTGGGAGGTGGAGCCCTTGTCGGGTGCAGTGTCGGGCCCCTTGGAGAAAGTCTTCCTGCTGGGCGTCTGTCAGGCTGTTCGGTGGTGAGGTCGATGGCCGGAAGGCCCAGGCGTTCCGCGAATGCTGTGGCTTCGGAGATATGGTACAGAGTGTGTACCCGGTTGTTTTGTCTCACTTGCAGCTTGAAGGGGTGGCCCCATGTGTATCTTATGTGTCTCCTGGCCAGCTCCAAGGTTAGGGGTCTGAGTTCCCTTCTCTTGCGTAGCGTGCTTGGAGCTAAGTCTTGATAAAAGCAGACTTGATGCCCCTCTATTTGGAGTGGGTTATCTCTCGCCGCTCTCATCAGCGCTTCTTTTATATGGAAATAGTGCATGCGGATGATGATGTCCCTGGGCTGGGTTGCGTTCGGGAGGGGTGCTTTAAGGGCCCTGTGGGCTCTGTCTAGTAGGAGCTCGGCCGGTGAGGCCTCTGGGAGTAGGCTGCAGAAAAGCTCTCTCAAAGTGGGGGCCAGCATGTCTATTCCAACCGTCTCTGGCACCCCGCGAATTCGTATATTGTTGCGGCGGGAACGGTTGTTGAGGTCCTCTTGGGCCTCCTCCAGCAGGCGTACCTGGTCTTGTAGTGCTGAGATGGCGGTTTCGTTTGTCTGTGCCTGCATGGAGGTGCGGTCCAGCTGGTCTTCAATGGCAGTAGTTCTGCGTGTGAGGTCATTTAGGCTTTCAGTGATGGGAGTCAGGTGTCTGGAAAACTCTGCAGCCATGTTGGTTTTGATCTCCTGCAGGAGGTGCCTGAGGTCAGCTTTTGTAAGTGGTGCTGCGGCTGCCGTGCGGCTGGTGTCACTTGCCGCCGAATCTGAGTCCTCCTCGCGGCCATCTTCCCCACGTGAGCTCTCCTCCCTGCGGGCGCGAAAGATTGGCGCTACCTCCGCGCCATGTTTAGTCTTGCGCCCCCCTCCCATGTCGGGTCGGTGGAGTGCCGTGGCCGGGATGCTGGGGACCGGGTGTGCTGCCCGTTCGTCGGGTATACGTGCCGGTAAATGCTAATGTTGTGCCTGCCGGTACGGAGCTCTAGCAGAGAGCAGCCATCCGCACCGGAAGTCAGGCGCCGCCCCCCTGGTGTGTGTTTTTTATAGGGCAGGGCAGCTGTAACCAACACCTCCAATCTCATCTCATTGATTGGACTCCAGTTGGCAGACATCTAACTCAAATTAGCGCTTGGATATGTCATTAGTCTAAGGGTTCACATACTTTTTCCACCTGCACTGTGACTGTTTACATGGTGTGTTCAATAAAAACATGGCAGCATTTCATTATTTGTGTGTTATTAGTCTAAGCAGACTGTGATTGTCTATTGGTGTGACTTAGATGGATGATCAGATCACATTTTATGACCAATTTGTGCAGAAATCCATATCATTCCAACTGTATGGGACTACAATAGTTTTAACATTTTGCCTCAGTTTGTAACTTGTGATGTGTCACAGTTTCCCAAAATAGCTACATGCAACAACAGTAACAGGAAAATTGTAGTTACGTAAAAATATATAATGTATAATGATTCACTTTTACGGATAGTGCTGTGCAACATTTCGTATAAAAATGTAATTATACCTAGTAAATTATGTAGTGTGCAGATTTTGCAATATGCCTGACACCATTATTCAATATGTCAACATCAGAGAAAAGAAAAAACAAACAAACATTAGTTAAAGATAAAAAAAAAAAAAAAAAAAAGTTTGATAAAAGTGAACTGTAACATCATGGAAAAGTAATTCTATTTTCAGCTGTTCAAAGAAAATGACAATGTGTTTCTCTTGAAAATGTGTATCCAAAGTGCTAAATGGCTACATGTTGCCACCTGGTGGCAAAGAACGATGTAAAATGTTATGCTTCTTGTGATAGTGAAAATAAAATACATATTGAACACAAATGTGATTAATGATATCTGGTGTTCTTACGTGTTATAGGGACTCTGCAGGCACTATAACGAAGCCTGGTGCCTGGGGGTAGCAGATCTTGTGTCACTGCTAAACTGTTTAGCAGATTCTCAGCCCCCTGCTGCCCAGGATCCAAGGGGTAGCAGGCAGTGATAGTCTGTGAGCGTCAGGTGAGCACTCTCAGTCGGTCATTTATGCCCCTATCCCTGGTATAACTTGGTATGGCGCAAGGCGAAAGCATATCTGTGCCATATTGTCTCTGGAGGCAGGACTGCTGGAGACCAAACACCTCTGCTAAATGGCTAATAAACAGTTTAGAAATTCACAGAGAAAAGCAGGGGTTGTGGAGAGACACATAAGAGATAGGGATGGAGCTTGGAGAGACACCGACTTTATATGAATTATAAGCCAATCCAGGCCTGGGACAGGGGGTTTCCTTGCGAGCTAAGATGTCAAATTTCCTCACGACCCACCCTAGATAGTCTTTATGTGCAGAGACGCACGAAGTTCAGTTCTGACAAAGAAAGTTAAAGGACAACACTGTTTATGGTGTTAGGAATGTAACTTCAAGAGAGATTTATGACTGGTTCAGACTGTTCCTGGCATGGCATAGCTTATTGGTGGAAAACACTTGGGGGGGCTTACAGAAAAGGCATATATTTTGAATGTGTTACCTTTATTATACATATAAAAAAAGAATGGGTCATCTGCAGCCTTGGTTGTCCCTTTAACCTGTAACCTAGAATACTTCCTTAAGATACCACTGACATGGAAATATAGCCTCTGTGTTTTTATTAATTCTTCATCCGCTATTAGTATATTGTGAACAGCATGTACAAAATCTCATGGAGTAATTTAGCTCTTCATATAGGATTATAATTATATTTCCCTTTCAGCCTGGATCTTTACCTAATCCTTACTCCTGTTGATGAATTGTACAGCGCTACGGAATCTGATGGCGCTATATAAATAATAATGATGGTAAATGAGTGAGTAAAAACAGATCTCATCTTATATCCTATTTTTCAGAAACCTTACAAAAATATTATTTCCATTAAGCATTATTAGAACTATGGCTATGTAATCTTATTCAATCCTTAGAGATGTTTGTAGAATCTTTATTTGATCATTAGAACTGTGGCTGCGGCTGCAATACCACTCCGAGCCGCAGGTGGCGCTGCTGGAGAACTCTATTGTTTATGATCTCTATGACCATCCACTGTCAGCTGGCGCTGGTATTTCCGGGATCGTATTTCCGGTGTCGGCTTGTGCTGATCTCATCTCTGTGGAAACATGGTCCTGCTGGAAAGCGAGCAGGTGAGGAACATAGGCGGCATTGAGCTACGTGTGGGAATGGGAGACCAGGAGGAATGGTCGGTATGGTGTGGAATGAGTCCCATGGTACCCTGGCAGTGATTGGCAGCCAGCACATGGATTGAGCAGGTGACTGCAGTGTTAGCCTGGGGGATTGGGAGACTGCTTGTTATGGTAACAGTCATACTGGGATACTATTCACTGCTCACCCATGGGACTTACAGCCCTAATGTTACTGATACCAGCATGTATTTCTGGACCTCTATTACCTCTTACATGCTGGTGGGCATTGCATGGAAAATACAGCCCACAGGGTATGGAATAGGCATCCCGCGGGGTATGGAATAGGCGCCCCGCGGGGTATGGAATAGGCGCCCCACACGGGTATGGAATAGGCATCCCGCGGGGTATGGAATAGGCGCCCCGCGGGGTATGGAATAGGCGCCCCGCGGGGCATGGAATAGGCGCCCCGCGGGGCATGGAATAGGCGCCCCGCGGGGCATGGATTAGGCACTCTGCGGGTTATAGAATTGGCACCCCAAGGAGTATGGATTTGACACTGCGGATTATAGAATTGGCACCCCAAGGGGTATGGATTTGACACTGCGGGTTATAGAATTGGCACCCCAAGGGGTATGGATTCGACACTGCGGGTTATAGAATTGGCACCCCAAGGGGTATGGATTCGACACTGCGGGTTATAGAATTGGCACCCCAAGGGGTATGGATTCGACACTGCGGGTTATAGAATTGGCACCCCAAGGGGTATGGATTCGACACTGCGGGTTATAGAATTGGCTCCCCAAGGAGTATGGATTCGACACTGCGGGTTATAGAATTGGCTCCCCAAGGGGTATGGATTTGACACTCTGCGGGTTATAGAATTGTGGTCCCACGGGGTTATGGATTTGGCACTCTGAGTGTTAGAGAATTGATGTCCCGCAGTGCCCTGCATGATATGAAATAAGTGCCCCGCAGCCTGTAGAATTGACACACCACGTGCTATGGAAGACCGTCTATTTAGTAAGTCTATGTAGTTAAAGGACACAAGTTTAATTGAAAATAAATAAAAAGGGGTACTAAAATAATGTTGGCTTTTAGGAACACTTTAGTTTTAGGAATACAAAGATATATTCCTGGCACTAAAGTGACCATCTGCCCCTGTGGCTTTTTCCTAGAGTCAAACTTAGTAAAACTGCAGGCAACACATCTACTGGCTGTTTTGGCAGCCCCAGTCTGCCTAATGGTAAATCTGAGCAAAAGTTACGTCTGTCATAAACACACACTGTGCGCTGATAACAGAAATACTGCGCTTGTACCTTTGCAGGGAGTGCCTGCAACGGGACGTTTAGATCTTCCTCTGTGCACTTAATACCTGCCTCCCAGCATTTACTGTTCACTTTTTTTATTTTTTTTTATTTTTTATTATAAATATTTCTCTCCACTATCCAACCACCACTCCTCGCAAAGGCTAAGAGCCTGCGCGTATGCTCTGATGGGTGAAAATGGACCAATAGTATGCTTTTCTATGAGAAGTATTTGATTGCATCACAGAGGGGAAAGGAGTGATGATGGTGTGAAATGAGTCCTATTAAAATCCTGGTATCGGTTTCCAGGGGCAATGATTGACATCCAGGACATATATTGAGTTGGTGACTGCACTGTCTCGGGACATCTTTGTAAGGGAGAAACTCCCAGGTCTCGCAGGTATGTATAATCCGCGCTCAGTCCAATAAAGTCTAGATTTGGCCGTTATAATTAGGCTTTGGTTCCAGAGCTCTGCCGCGGTGCGTCTGGCTGGTGGCCAGGCACCGCCCCCCTCCAGTTTTCTTTTTTAATTTTACAAAGCATTATTTTTAACAACAAAAATAGAAAATTTAATTCTTAAAGGGTCACTATAGTCACCAAGACAACTACAGCTTAATGTAGTGGTTCCGTTGTCAATAGCCTGTCTCTGCAGGCTTTTCAATGTAAATGCCGCCTTTACAGAGAAAAGGCAGTGTTAATATTACTGCCTTACAACACCTCTAGTGGCAGTCACTCAGACGGCCACTAAAGTGATTCTTATCTCGGTGCAGCACCTACATTCAGGGTCTCCACGCTCTGCATGGATGCGCTGAACGTTCCCAATAGAGATGCATTGATTCAATGAATCTCGATGAAGGGATGCTGATTGATGAAACAATTTGCAGCACTGGTGCAATAGCTTCCCAATTCTTTCCTAAGGGAAAGCATTGGATTGGCTGAGATTAATAAGCATGGTGATTTCAGACCTAGAGGCGGGCCAAGCTGCAGGGAGACTAGCACAGCCTGGCAAAAAAGTGAAGTAAAAACACCATTCCTTTGTTGTCGAAGGTAGCTGGTCACCTAAACATACCCGCTCTCTGACACAGAAGCTTTAATTCCGTCTTATTCCACCCAGCCTTCCTACCTTTGGGAGAGCTGGAGTCCAGTGGGTGGGAGGCTTGTTGAGAGTGGAGGAGGATGGCCAGCTGTGTGTACTGTAGGCAGATGGCGAGGAAGCTATGATCTCCATGCTCTTCTACCTTCGAGCGCATCTTAATGCTGCTGGGGCTGGAGTGACCTCATATTCAGGCCCCAATAAGCGCCGCACGAGTAAGTAAAGCAGGGAGCTCACAGCCTACAGTATGCACTGCCGTCAACCCGCCTTGGAGGGCACCTTTCACAAATCACAGGCGCCATGCCACAATTTCCCGCCACCATGGCGACCTGTCATCTAGCAATTAGGGCTACATAAATGACTTGAATATGCTAATGTTGTTTTGTTTCTAAAAATTCCTGAACACTATAATCACTACAGCCTACTGTGTTGGTATTAGGAGAGGCATAATCTGTCCAGCTATGTTGGCACTGTTTGATTATAACTTGTAACTGGTGGTTGTGGTGCCGGGAATGCCCTGAAGCCTTCCCAGAGTAATTTGCCAAGCCATTTTATCATGGCTTGGCATCTTACCTGAATAAGTAATGCAGGAGAGTCAGATTCACTGCCGGCTCTTTAGTTAATGTGGCTGCCATCGCGGGGTATATTGGAGGCGGCTGGCAGCACGGAGGCGGCCGCCCTGAAGGATATGGAGAGTCAGAGTGAGTGTGTGTGCGGCTGTTAGTGTGTGTGTTTGCATTTAGGAACCTCCCCTCTCCGATTGCATGAGTAAGGTGATTTTACTCTCCTTTTTTCCCACGCCGTGCCAGATTGGCTGTGGCTGGTCCCACTTCCATGGCTGGGATTAGCAATCTTTATGATCTCAGCTAAACCAATGCATTCCCTTAGGAAAGCATTGGGAGGATTTTGTGCATGCGCAACAAATGTACCAATCCATTAAATTAATACACCTCCATGAGGAACATTCGTCGCCTCCATGCAGTGCTTGGAGATCCTGAACGTGCGTGCTGCACGTGGTGCAGCAGTGACCCAGGACTCTAGTGGCCATCTGAGTAACTGTCACTAGAGGTGTTACTAAGCAGCAATGTAAACACTGCCTTTTTTCTGAAAAGTCTGCAGGGACAGGCTATAGACACCAGAACAACTACATCAAGCTGTAGTGGTTCTGGTAACTATAGTGTCCCTTTAATAATTGGATGAAAATAATAGGAGAAAGGCTGCGCACACAAGTAGAAATAAAGTCCAATGTAAAGGAAAGTCCCAATGTTTTTATCCTTACAGATGGTCTTTGCTAGTGACGTCTTCTCTTAATGTAGCCGTTCCACTTATATGAAAGAAAAAAGAGGAGAGAGAAGGGCGACCAATAGTGTAGTATATAAAATTCTGGTGTGAACATAAAATAATAATAATATAGAACTCACATTTGCCAGAGCTATTGTCCTAGCTCTGGGTTATGGCGCATACAGCGGTTTAATCCCCGCTTGTAGGATTTAAATGGGTTCCTCTCTGTGGTAGGTGTCCAATTCTCGGAATAAAAGAAACAGCCGATAGTGCTCACTGTATAGCAATATGGATAAAATAATAAAAGAATGTACTTACAAAGCAGGAGCAGATTTACTGCTCCGTGATGACAGCTTGGGTGGATTGATCCCCACCTAGGATTTCTTTAAGTACAGGAAACTTCCAGGGATTCTCAAGGTTTTTTTTAAAACCAGTAAAAAAGGATAAAATAATTAAAAAGGCCAGGATAATAAAAAAGAAAATTATGTGTCTATAAAAAAGATTATTGGTACAAACAGATAACCAAAAATACTTTAATATATAAAAGAACACAATAATTAAATTTCCATAACGCGTTTCGTCAAAGACTTTTTCAAATGGAATAACCATGGTTATACTCACATTTGGTAGAGCTTAAGCCAGTTCTGGTGTGACTAGCGTATAGCGGTACAATCCCTACTTATAGGATATATGGTGCGCTAACTTAGGGTTCTCTTTCCATCCTTGTCCTTCTTCCTTTTTCCCTCTGGAGTTAGCTGCTTTTAAACATTAATTTCTGTGCAGTATTATCCACAGGGTATGAATAACCATGGTTATTCCATTTGAAAAAGTCTTTGACGAAAAGCGTTATGGAAATTTAATTATTGTGTTCTTTTATATATTAAAGTATTTTTGGTTATATGTTTGTACCAATAATCTTTTTTATAGACACATAATTTTCTTTTTTATTATCCTGGCCTTTTTAATTATTTTATCCTTTTTTACTGGTTTTAAAAAAAACCTTGAGAATCCCTGGAAGTTTCCTGTACTTAAAGAAATCCTAGGTGGGGATCAATCCACCCAAGCTGTCATCACGGAGCAGTAAATCTGCTCCTGCTTTGTAAGTACATTCTTTTATTATTTTATCCATATTGCTATACAGTGAGCACTATCGGCTGTTTCTTTTATTCCGAGAATTGGACACCTACCACAGAGAGGAACCCATTTAAATCCTACAAGCGGGGATCAAACCGCTGTATGCGCCATAACCCAGAGCTAGGACAATAGCTCTGGCAAATGTGAGTTCTATATTATTATTATTTTATGTTCACACCAGAATTTTATATACTACACTATTGGTCGCCCTTCTCTCTCCTCTTTTTTCTTTCATATAAGTGGAACGGCTACATTAAGAGAAGACGTCACTAGCAAAGACCATCTGTAAGGATAAAAACATTGGGACTTTCCTTTACATTGGACTTTATTTCTACTTGTGTGCGCAGCCTTTCTCCTATTATTTTCATCCATCCAGTTCTAAAGGGTCTGAGGGATCCCCTTTTAAGGTTGCTGCCTATAAGTTATCTAGCGCTGTCTCATTTCCATTTTCTTGTCCCTTTAATAATTGCCTTTTCTTGTTGAAAGTGACTGGCTCCTAACTTTTTTAGCTCGCTCCTAGATTCCAAACAAATTTGTCAAGCCCAGCTGTAATGTCAAGATTAATTTGTGCATATATACAGTGACTAATGTTGGAATTTTTTTCTCTCTCTTGACAGTTTCTCACTGAATTGACGCGATTGTTCCAGAAGTGTAGAACAACAGGAAGTGTTTATATCACTTTGAAGAAGTGTATGTATAACTGTCACCCGGTGGCTTGTCTAATAATATATTTTGCATGTGTGGGTTCTATCCTGTATGATTGAATGGAGATGTGGATATGGTTCTATGCAGCTTAGTGATTACTACTGTTGTGACCCTTAGCTAGCCATATCCCCATCATGTTATGAGCTGAATTATTTATTTTAGTAGTTCTTAAACTCTGAGAGGAAAAAGTAGGGTTGTCGGTCAATATTTTAGGGTGAAGCTGTCTTGTCTGAAATGCCTCTCTTGTCACTTTATAGAGCATGTAGTGTAATCCACTCATTGTGCCAACAAATGTATAAGTGTGTTTTGGCTTGTGTTTTTTTTTTTTTTTGGCGGGGGGATATATATATTCTATCTATCTCTCTTCAGCTTTACCTCTGTGTCATCTATTCAACTCAAGAAAATTGTGTGATGTTTGTGTCATTGGGGGTGGAGATACGTTCAGAGGAAATTGTGAACCATTCTCGTCAAAGCATGCAGTTTTTGCTGAAGGTTTGGGTGACAAGATAGAAAGTTGGAAGCCAGTTGAGGGAATGTATCTTTTGTATAGCCAATTTTGTATGGGATTAAGTAGTAAGCATCATGGCAAATGTGTCTTGTTGTCCCAAGTCCATCATATTGTCTCTGAAGTTGGTGCTCCGTTTTTTTTTTTTTTTGTTTGTTTTTTATGTAGTTGTTTAGAGGTGAAGTAATAATGAATTATTGTAACTAAAATATGTTGGTGCTGTACAAATATTGTGATAATTACCAAATACAAGGTAATGTTGATACAAAAACCAGAGTTGGGCTGCGCCACAATATAATGATAAAGAATAGTCTTATCTCAGTATAGTCCCGGATAGAACCAAGCCTTAATATATAGAATTGGAGTTCAATGTAGGTCTCTGAAGTCAGGGGATAGTGATCCTTGCACTTATCAAATGTCTGAGTATATATAGAAAGGGGCGATAAGAGATGGAAAAGATAATGGTGTAATAAGTTCCCCAAAGTATAGATATGACCGTAAAATAATAGGGTTACACTCACTTTTAATAGAGCTTAAGCCAGCTTCTGTGTGTATAGCGTACAGCGGTACAATCCCCACTTATAGGATATATAGTGAATGTTCTTGGAGCTGGAGGTATCAAAGACCCAGAGAAAGGGTGCGATAAGAAATGGAAACAATAATAGTGCAGTATTATCCACAGGGTATGAGTAAAACCGTAAAATAGGGTTATACTCACATTTGGTAGAGCTTAAGCCAGTTCTGGTGTGACTAGCGTATAGCGGTACAATCCCTACTTATAGGATATATGGTGCGCTAACTTAGGGTTCTCTTTCCATCCTTGTCCTTCTTCCTTTTTCCCTCTGGAGTTAGCTGCTTTTAAACATTAATTTCTGTATCTAATAGTGATAATTTTTTACTCTTTTTTTTTTTTTTTTTTTTTCACTATAGTCACCAGAACAACTACAGCGTATTGTATTTGTTCTGGTGAGTAGAATCATTCCCTTCAGAGAAAATACAGTGTTTACATTACAGCCTAGCGATAACTTCACTGGCCACTCCCCAGATGGCTGTTTAAGATCCTTCCTGGGTCATGACTGCCTAAAATGCATCCAAACATTCAGTGTCTCCTCCCTCTGCATGCAGACACTGAACTTTCCTCATAGAGATTCATTGATTAAATTCATCTCTATGAGGAGATGCTGATTGGCAAGGCTGTGCTTGAATCATGCTGGCTCTGCCCCTGATCTGCCTCCTTGTCAGTCTCAGCCAATTCTATGGGGAAGCACTGTGATTGGATCAGGCTACCACTTCTGATGATGTCAGCAGACTGTTTGTTTTTCTGAGTCTAACAGCATGCAGAGTTACAGCTTCAGGTTTGAATACAGTAAGATTTTTACTATATTTATGGAGGCATGAGGGGCGCAGGAGGGCTAGATGGTGGTGTTAACACTATAGGGTCAGGAATACATGTTTGTGTTCCTGGCCCTATAGTGATCCGTTAAGCCAAAAGTACAAATTTCAAGCTTATTGTTCTATTCATCCATGTACTCAATGTCCTCCTAGTCTGAGGTCGGTGTTTTAAATAGCTTCAGGCTTCTAGGGGTTATACGTTCATCTATATATTTCTTTAGTGTGGTAATTTTCCATTTTAGTTTAATTTCAGTGCTTTCAAACTTTTTCTAATTTGGTAAACGGTTCTTGTTGGCAAAACTGGTTTCTTATGTAGATAGTGCTATTTGGTTCTGTGTCAAATATATTGTTGATATCAATCGTATAGTTATTCCTAAATTCGAATATGGACACGATATGAAATTAGTTTAAAAGCAGCTAACTCCAGAGGGAAATAGGGAGAAAGACCAGGATGGAAAGAGAAGACCAAGAGTTAGCGCACCATATATCCTATAAGTGGGGATTGTACCACTGTACGCTATACACACAGGAGCTGGCTTAAGCTCTATTAAATGTGAGTGCAACCCTATTATTTTACTGTCATATCTATACCTTGGGAAACGGATTGCACCATTATCTTTTCCATCTCTTATCACCCCTTTCTATATATACAGACATTTGAAAAGTGCAAGGATCACTATACCCTGACTTCAGAGACCTACATTGAACTCCAATTCTATATAGTAAGGCTTTGCTCTATCCAGGAATATACGATAAGATAAGACTGTTCTTTATCATTATATTGTGGCGCAGCCCAACTCTGTTTTTTGTATTTCTCCGATTACCTTCAAGGGCTGTGAAGGAACCCTTGTTTAGGGTTGCTGCTTTTACTCACCTTACTATATTTGGATTTATTAGCGCTAACTCTTAGTGTTCTCTTTCCAAGGTAATGTTGATGGGGATTTTCAACTTCAGTGTTTCAGGACATGTAGAGTAAAAAGAGATCTGTATAAATCATGTGGTACTAGCTTATGCATACGTTGTTACATGCAAGACATAATGTTTGGGGTCAAGCACATACTTAAAAGGACACTTTAGGGACTGTAATTACTTAATCTCATTGAAGTGGTTATAGTGTGTGCCACTGTGCTGCTTGGTCTAATGAGAAAGTATCAGGCTGAGCATCTATTGGCGGATATGATTGGTTGAGACTGTCAGCTGACACTGTCATCCAATCACAGCACCCATTGCTGGTGTGAATCTGTATGGCTAGAATGAAGTATGTAATCTCTGTCTCCAGTAGTAGTGCCTGGAAGTGTACAGAGCCCCCTATTTATTAGATTAACACTAAATGGAGGGACAGTGACAGGGGACTCAAAGTACTATAGCCATTTCAGTGACATGAAATAGTTATGGTGCATACAGGTTTTTGTTTTGGGGGGGGGGGAAGGTGGGTCTGAATGTCATGGTTTATGTAAAGAACAAAAAATGTATAATGATGTTTGTGTATCAGTAAAAGCCTGTCCATGGGGGAGCGCCCAACCAGTTTTTGTTACAAATACAAAACAAAATAATAATTAACCTGTACATATCTATTATTATTTTTTTGTTTTTAACTTTAGTGTAAACATACACCTTTTAAGATGTCTGTTTGATAAAATGTGTTATGTCCTTATTATTAGTACTGTGGTTTCCTTTGTTATCCCCCTCTTGTTGCTTAGAGTTTAAGAAACACAGTGTTAAAAACACCATGTAGCCTCCTTGCCTCCCTAAATATAGTAAAATCTTAGTTGTATTCAAGTCTGCTGCTGCCTCTGACCTACCTGATGACATCATCAAAGAGGAATCTGTGAGCCAATCGTAATGCTTGTCCATAGGCAGGGCCGCCATCAGTGGGTGACAACCATAACTCACTATGCTCTTATCAGGATTTAATTTAACACTTGTAATTTTCAACACTAGTACTATTTAATTTGTTCCCCCACATTTTTAGCGTAGGACCCACCAATATTGGGGTACTTTGAAAGTAGTGGTGGGCTTAACAACATATGGCCATATGGTGGAACTAAATCCCCATATTTATTCTCAGATAGGCATTTTAGTAGCCTTCTTTGTATTATATATTGTTTTGTAGTCTGAGTGCGCTGCAACTATTTATTGTTTTATGTATGAAGTTTGGTCACTGCGGCAGCACCTTTCATACAAAATGCAGGTCTTGGGAGTGCCCCCTATCCTTTTTCTGTAACCATAACGGTTGTCACGGGCCCGGTGGCCCTGGGGGGCCCGGCCGCCCGGGCCCCACGTGTAGCGGCGAAACTGCCGCTGGTGCACTTGCACTGGGGCCTATCGGTTGGCCCATGCACTGACGGCCACCCGATGGGCCCTATATCTTCAGGGGCCCGGTCAGTGCTGTGGCCATGGTATAGCTCGACCGGGCCCCTATAAAAAGGCCGCAGCAAGTGCTGCTGGGAGGAAGTAGTCACTTCCTCCCAGCTCACTCCGCGCAGGAGGAGCGCGCACCAGTGGAGAGGGAGAGCCTGCCGACTACTCCCATCAGCCCCAACCACACTCCTGCAAAGACAAAGTAAGAGACAGGAGGGTGGCTGGAAAATGAGCTATGTATGTCTGTGCGTATGTCTGTGCGCTAGTATCAATGTATGTATTTATGTCTGTCTGTATTTGTCTGTCTGTATTTATGTCTGTCTGTATGCCATTATGAATGTATTTTTGTATGCCATTATGGATGTCAGTGTCTGTATGGATGTTAGTATGTGTCTGTCTGTCACTATGTATACCTGTGTGTATGTCTCAGTATGAGTGTATGTCTGTTTCAGTATGTGTGTCTGTTAGTATGTATCTGTGTCCTTTTGTATCAGTGTGTTTGTTTTTCTGTGGGTGGTATTTGGAGGCGGGGCCCAGACCCTGAGCTGAGTTAGGGGCCCCAAAATTTCTGGTGGCTGCCCTGTCCATAGGATTGGCTGAGACTGTCAAGGAGGCAGATCCAGCACAAGCCAAATTCTGTCCTGGCCAATCGCCATTTCCTCATAGAGATGCTTTGAATTAATTCATCTCTGAGGAAAGTTCAGTGTCTCTATGCAGAGGGTGGAGACACTGAATGGCAGTACTGCTTAGTGTGCAGCACTGCACCAGGAAGCACCTCTAGATTACAGCCTAGTGATACCTCCACTGGCCACTCCTTTAGATGGCTACTAAACACTGCATTTTCTCTGAGAATCGTGTTTACTGCCAAAAGCTTGAAGGCAATGATTCTATTTACCATAAATACAATAAGCTGTAGTTGTTCTGGTGACTATAGTGACCTTTTAACATCAGGTGTGTGTGTGTCTCCCTCTCCGTCTCCCTCTCCCTCTCCAGCCTGCTTCCTGTTGTCTTCCTGAATGATCTTATTAAGGCAGGCACTGCTTTGAACATCGGGTGTCTGCCTTAATAAGCGTGAAATAGAGCCCTCCGACCTCATGTGTAGCTTGACACTAATTTCTTCCCCAACCACATGGTGACACACCGCTTGAACAATGGGTGCCTGTCACATTTACTACCTGGCTCACTCCACCTACCCACAGACGGGCTCCTCTCCAACAGCGGGTGCTTGCCTCCATGTCTCTCCAGCTCCCTCCCCTTATAACTTGTCACATGTAAAACTCCAACAGTGGGTGCCTGACACTTTATTTTAATTTTATTAATGAACTTTTCTCATGAGGAGAATATTATTTAACCAAAAATCTGAATGCAGGGCCATCTTCAATATTTTCTTTTCGATTTTCATTTTTCCGTAAAAAACAAACAAATGTACTTTCAATTTCGTCAGTTAAATATATATTTGTTCTACTCATTAAAAAGAATATGCCTTTATGGTTCATTCCCTCTACATGGGATTGTAGTAGTTCCATATAGACATTTCTATTCATAATTAAAATATTTAAGGACAGAGTCAAATCTGCGTGTCTAAGTATTGCGTCCCACCAACTTGAAAAGTCACCAGCCGCCTCTTATTTGTGTATATATGCAATAATAAGTAGGTGACAGTCCCCAGTTAATGTGTGTGTATATGTGTTGGATAGCCCGTTTAAAGGGTTATTGTATTCTAGCTTGCAAAGTATAATAAACCATGGGAATAGGCACCTAAAATGTAGTTGGAAATCAACTCTCCAACCTTTTAAATGGCAGGCTTTAACACACACTCACATATGCGCGCAATACATTCCACATATTTTACATTCATATGTAGACACATACTGACCTAAAACTGCAGATTTACATTTTATCAAATACTTGCCACCCATGCTGATGCTGACTTAGAGGAGGCTGTGTAGTCTGGAGCATTGTCTTCTTGGTATCTGAGGGGATGGACTATTTCTGCATTCTAGCATCCTTCCCATATCTGTGTTATAACAACTTTATGGGCCTTGTTATACAGCTCCAATGTGTTCCCGAAATTAAAGAAACACTACAAGCACCATAACTACTGTGGTGCCTATGGTGAAAGAAGTGCCCTGGCGCTATCCCAACATAGGTAGTCAAACTGTCTTTACTGTGGTTTGGCCACTTACCTGAGTGCCCCAGGAGCCTACACTGCATCTGGTCCTCTCCTGCAGAAGTCTGATGGCTGTAGAATAAAGCATGGTCCTGAATGGCACTCTTTTGCTTTGTAGAGCAGGTTCTCCTGTTGGAGAATACTGGCTGTGACTGCGGGTGCCTGGTCATGGGATAGCATCCCCACCCACTAGGTACCATAACCACTATAACAGAATGAAGTAGTTACAGTGTTTGGACTGTTCCTGTCATTTTCTTTTGTGAGTGAAGCTCATGCCAAGTGATTTTTCCTTAACTATTGAGGATTGCCTCTTGTTTCAGATAGAAATGTAGGTGGTAGAAACAGAGGTGGATATGACTTTATGGGTGGCTTAGCACGGTATGGCCGAATTACATTCTAAAGCACCATTTTTTTTATTAATTTTTTTTCCACATTGAAGATGTGTGTATTTATGTACATGTTTTCAAGTTCATTAGATGCTTGATATGTGTGTGTACATCTATTTATTCTCTAAATATTGGTTATAATATAGAATTTAACTAATTTTTTTTTTTATTGTTGCCCCAAAGATGATGGTCGAACAAAACCCGTTCCTCGGAAGGGACACACTGAGACCTTTGAGCCAGCGGATAATAAATGTCTTTTGAGGGCTACTGATGGAAAGAGGAAAATCAGTACAGTGGTAAGTTTATTTCCAGTATATTAGACCCTTACTTTGCAAATTTTCAACTCTATCTTTTCATAACTTTATTTTTATTTTCATTGCAGGTTAGTTCAAAAGAAGTTAACAAGTTCCAAATGGTATGTTTTTCCACTTTTTAAAACTGACGAATATATCTCATGATGTAATTGGCTATGTCTGTGTCAATTTTAGTTCTGTGTATGATCTAAACTTATTTAAAGTGCTTTTATGACTTGTTAAAACAAATGTGTGTGTGTGGTGCTGCTGCGACTGCAGGACACCAAGGTAACAATAATGATGCTACATATGAGGCCAATTCGGTTATTGTGTTCAGAGATGGGTGAGAATGTAAATGTAGTCTTTCAACAAGACATTAAAATAAATAAATACCAATATGGAATTGACCTTAATTAAGCATTCTGACTGCGTAGGTGTCCAGCATTCTGTTACTTCATCTCACAGGGTTATTCACCAAATTGTTGGGAACTCAGCAGGTAAATCCAAATGCAAGCCAAAAATAAGCGTGTTGGAGAACCTTCCATGGTTGGCTATATTTATTTATTTTTTTACATTTTTGTTGTGAACATAGGAACAAGCAAGCCTGCAGTGCCACGACAGCAGCAAGCATAAGCAAACATAGAGGTGACATTTGAGATAACAGCACGTTTTTAGGAGCCTAGATCAGCAAACAAGTGTAGAACAGTGTAAAAGCATGGCTATCTCATAATATGTGTAACTTAAAGCATATTAAACAAGCTATCCTAAGAAGGTGTCAGCTATGCATTGCATTTCTAAAACAGTAACAGGCTGTGTCTCTATGCCTAAAACACTGATACAGGAATACCACTGGGTTTAAACTTTTGATTAAAAGCATGTTCTGTATATATCTTGCAGAGCTGAGCATCCATGCTTTTAAGTGTGAAATTCCTTTGTCCGTCTTGATCACCCAACTCCGCAGGCTGGCCATGTCCCAGAGTCCACCATTTTGCCTGCAATATTCTCTCCTTTCCCTGTCAGACGGTGTAGGCTTTGTAGGGTGTCCAGCCATTGAGTGTAACATGAGTTGCAGTGCTTCAGCTCCGCAGAGCCTTGATGGAAGCCCACACCCGGCGTCCGTGGGTCCCTACATAGATAATGGCAAGGTCACAAGCCCTCAGGGTATGCAGGTTCTGGGTTTCCCCCTGTATAGACAAATGGGCGGTTTTGAGTTGGCTCCGAGTGGCTCAAATATCTGAAACTGCTTCTTGGATTGGCTGTGCAGCAGGAGGGGTAAGCACAGTGGTTTGGCAGGCGAATCTGTGCCAAAATTTCTGGCAGATTACACTAAATATGTCTCTCCAGTTTTGGCCCTCCAGGGCCCTTCAGCAGTGCAGAGCTTTCAGCGCAGTGGCCATTTTGGTTGTGCGACACTGCTTATGAGGAATTATGGGGGGCTGCTATTGCGGTTTCAAGCTGACCCAGTGGGGACCAGGATAACAAGGGGGTGACAGGGCTGCAAGAGGTAGGCTTCCAGGGGCACGTGCGGTGGGGAAGATTGTCCGCTTCCCCCTCCACAGGTACTGCAAACCCAATAGACCTTAAGGTTCCGAACAGGTTGCAGCTTGGCAAGGCATCCTGTTCTGGACTTGGTAAGCTGCACAAATTAAGATCGGTCTTCATATGGCTCTCTCTAATATGATTATATATATATATATATATATATATATATATATATATATATATATATATATATATATATATATATATATATATATATATATATATATATATATTTGCGAAACTACCTAGGTTACTTGGGAGCTCCAGAGTAACACGTCCAGCCATGTTTGACGTTAGGTCCCGCCCCCTTGTTTAGCTATTTTAACCCAACTTTAAATTCCTTGGTTATCCCTGGCAATTCAGTTTATGGAATAACCCTTTCCATAACCTTCTGCTACCCTCGAAGCCATCTGTTCTCTGGATGCAACATGTTGCATTTTATATTGTTGTATTATTTGGTGTTTTATTTGAACATATGATCCTGTGTTTAGAAAATACATCACAAATTGTACAGTGGTGTCTTTGCACTGCAGCAGTCAGATGATATTACAAAGTGTAATAACATAGAAATTTATATTTTTAATTGGAGGCATGCAGAGACACGAAGCCGTAGAACCCGTGTGATCTTGTTTTTGCAATAGATCATGAGTCCTAATTTAAGAGCCAGAAAGACATATGAAAAGTTCTGTTTTAAGTTCATACATTTGCCTTTCTCTGAACACATTTTAACTGAACTGACCCTTGTGAATGTGATTCTTTTGGGGAAATAATTTCATGTGTAATATAATTAGCAACGTTCTACACTAGAGGGTGAATTATTGCAAATGGAGAGTGAAATTCATGTTATAGTGCAAGATAGTGCAACTTGTATAGATGAACTTTTGTGCTTTGCTTTACTGCTCTTCAGTAACCATAGGACTCTATCAGGGGGTATTTTAAACACTGCATACATTGTATTTGCTACACACAGAGGTGAAGGTGTCCACTTGTGTGTTTGTCAACCATGGGTTGCTTTATTTTATTTATTTTGGACACTGCAGTGTTCTAATATGTGCCAATTGTGATTACGTGCTATAAATATGCTTATTTCAAAGATACAAACTAATGCTATCTTTACTTCTTATCTTCCTGCGATAATACTCGAAAATAAAGTGTCACAAACACAACAAAGGCTTTGACTTTATCCAAATGCCCTAGCAACCTGTGTGGCATTTATTATAGATTAACACCCCTGAGGGGATTTACTTAGCTATAACTATATACAGGACCCAACATACAAAGGTCAGAGTCTACTTAATAATAAAACTGAGGCTTTACCTTGATAGGGATTCTCCAAAAAAACTATTATCTATGGGATTAAACCTATTACAAAAAAACTCAGATGACCCTTTAGAAGCTATAATTAATTCTTGGCAAAGAGATTTGGGAAATCAGATTACTTGTAACCAATGGAGAGAAGCTCTAAATCTTACCTATAAACATATCCATTGCCTTAATCTGGTGGAATGCCATTTTAAAATCATAAATAGGTGGTATATGATCCCCAGTAAAATTAAGAAGTTTAGTATTTCAGGTAACGCCAATTGCTGGAGATGCAATGTGGAATGTGGGAACTATCTACATATATGGTGGGACTGTAGGTATATACAGAAGTTTTGGAAAATGATGTTATCTAGGATAAAACTTATTACTTTGATTTACCTATGGCACCACAGATATGCCTTTTGCAATTAGATATCTACCAGGTTAGTGGTAGTTCACTGCCGGTTATCTTGCATATACTACTAGCCGCGAAACTTTCTATTGCAAGGTATTGGAAAATGGAGTTGGTGCCTTCCTGGCCCGTAGTTAAGGAACAAATTAAATATCAATTGAAAATGGAAGCTGGGTTAAATATAAAATATCAAGAACGCTATAACTCCTGGTTGGCGAAGTTAGAGGCTGTTGTTGACTTATAGATAGATGTCCAAAATTTTTTCTGGGCCTAAGTCGATATCGATACTATATTAAAAGTGACCTCATATGACCATTTGATGTTCTGTCCTGTTATGTCCTTTTGTATGTGGGTTGTTTACAGTGAGATTTTTAAACAACATAGGTGTTTTACTAAACGTAACTATACTATTTCAAACCTATGCGAAAAAAGTAATGATGTTAATGATGTTATGTGTGTCTTACTGTATATGTTTTATACGGGATGTTTTGTTAATTGTATCTTTTTTTTTGTGTTTGTTGCTAATTCTATTGTGTTATAAAAAAAGAAAAAAAGCGGAGTTGATGTCTCCGAATAAAGATTATATATTGAAAAAAAAAAAAAACTGAGGCTTTACTTTACAGCTCTTAAAACGGATTATGTAGCATACAACTTTTTGTGATGTTCCTCTTTATGAATTAAGTGGATATTTCACTTAAAACAGCACATTATTCATTAATAAGAGAAAATTACTTTTGTGGTTTTTTTTTGGGGTGTTTTCGACGTGTGTGGGTGTGGGCAACATCCCTCTTTAAGAGGGTGAAGTTCTCATTGTTTATATATTTTTCCTGATTGTTTGCTCATCGTGTCTTTTTGCAAACTGTTAAATGGTTATACCAACAAGAAAAACCTTCCTATATGACCAACCCCCAAAAAGCGTAAATGTGGGGAAGGGATATGCCTGCATTGGCTGGCTGGTGCTAGCATGTTGCATGTGTCTCTTGGTGAGGATACACTAATATTTTTTCACTCTGTAATGACTACATCTGAATGTAAGTGTATTTGAATATAGTAATTGGTTTTTCTTTTTCCCCCTCCCACAGGCATATTCCAACCTTCTTCGTGCAAACATGGATGGGCTTAAAAAGAAAGACAAAAAAAGCAAAAATAAGAAAAGCAGTGCAGCACAATGATGGACTGAGACACTCTCCTCATCCCTTCATCATGACTTGGCTGCCACTTGGAAGGCCAATAGTTCAGACAGAAACCACAGCCATTCCCCTTTATGCCACGTCGGAAGTAAAGATCCAGGTCTCACGGCATCTCGTTGGATGGCAATGATTTGTTAAACTTGCATACATTGAACTTTACTTGTGTTTTTTATTTTCATTTTATTTTGCAAATTTACTGCAGTTTCACTTAATTCAAGACATGTATGTATGTATCTTTCATTAAAAGTACACTAAATTCCACCCCTTACCTGGGAGTTATTTGTTAAACAACAACAACAAAAATCCACCAGAATAGTTTTATGTTCTGGAAAGCATTGTATTAATTTATTAGACTCCAGCATGAACAGTGCACGATGTAATGACAAACATATTTGTTGTTTAACAGACAGAAGAAAACGATTAGGATTGCAGAATAATGAAGAGAATTATAGAGCACAATACGTGTTTATTTGCAAACTGAAATAGTGCATTTTGCGTACGGTTGTATACAGGTTATTGTGAGTGGTGAAAGCTTTTTGACTTGTGATGTCCTCTGCAAGTCCTGGTCTATTTTTTTTTTTGTTCTTTGACTTTGAGATTTTCTGTAGACTGCTTTGATGGTAAGGATTGGTTACTGTGGCAAACAGACTTGTATTCTTATTATATAAATCAGAAACAGACAATTTCTCTTAGAACACTCAAAGCACCAAAGCCAGTACCTCTCACTGTAGTGATTATGGTGCCAGAAGTTCCTGGCTCCATTCCAGTATAACCAGCTAAGAATCGTATTAACGTGGTTTACACACTTTCCTGGGTCCTGTCAAGTGTTGGCACTGCATCAGGTCTTTGTTTTGGCAGGTGAACTCATTAGCCTCATTCACTCGCTCAGTCCACTCAGCTGACACACTGCCAGTGAATGAACACCTACATCTGACTCCATCTTTCTGTTCAAGAAGATCAGATGTAGCATGTGTACCAGGTAAGTGTCAAACTGTGCTACACCTGTTTGATACTCCTGGCACCATACCCACTGTGCATTGATATTTAGCGATTATGGTGCTTAAAGCGGTCTTTTATTAATGGTATCTACATTACTTTTCAACTATTGTTAGCCATGTTAAATTGAAACACAAAATTTTCTCACTTAGGATTTTATTGATCAATCCTTTAAGTACCACTAATGCCCTAGACACATCATGCAAATCCCGGTGGTTTATTTATGTAACTAATTGGTGTACTGCACACTTTGACTAATGCTTGTCCATTTACCAATTAAGTATCTGATCCTCTGGCTTTGCTGCAGTTTGTAATGCAGATTACTTTACATTCTATTTTAAGTACAATTAGACTTAAAAATGTGTGTGGGAGTTAGTGTGAAATTGATGGATAATCAACATTTGTGGTGACACAGAGGTATACATATGAAAATATGGGGGTGCCACTAGTGCTAAATGTGTAGGTGTCTTGAGGATGTCCCAATCTGTGTACACCATCTCTATTTTTAGTGACTGTGGAGAATGGGCTGCTGGTAACTCACAGATAAAACCAGGAAGTGCTTCAGGCACCTTACTGTCTGCAGTGTATTCTTAATGCAGAATCTTTATTTTTAATTTTTATTATATATTCTATAGGCCCTACTAAGTTACGTAGTAAAATAACATTTGCAGGCGTACATTAGCAGATTTGTTTTGGTAACTGTGTTTTGGAATGTTGGTGGAGAGCTGCAGGAGAAGGACCCTTGACCAAATGGGCAACCGTGAGTAAAATGCTTAAAGTGGACCAGATATACATGCAGGGACCTTCAGTAATTATGTTTGGGAAATGGACAAGAAAGTTTCATTAAATGGACCAATCTCAGCCCAGCTGCTGGGCCAGATGATTCTTACAGTTGGCCTGAGATGGATCCATTTACGGTCTTTGTATTTTTTCTAAACTTGGTAATCTTAGGCAAACACCACACAATGGTGGTTTTAAATCTTCCACCCATTTTAATTGTATAAAGAGAGCCCCATTTAAGCCTTTAAGGACCAAGTGTTAAATATCTGTCATCTCATTTGGGTGCCAAAATGCATTCTGCCATTAAGGATGGCTCTGCTTATTTAACATTTAACCCTACTGTTAAAGAGGCTCTAACTTGGATTTCTGATATTGTTTCCTCTTTTCTAAACTCCATCCTTTTGTCACAATTGCCAATCATAGGAAAAATACCTAAGAGAGAGTAGGAACCATTTTGTCTTATGTATTTTTCCTATGATTGACAACTGTCAAAGGGTGCAGTTTATGGCAAGCTCGACTTCCTTTATGAATATATAAAAAGGGAGAAACTTGTTTTAACCTTCACCATTTTTTGTGAAGATTGCCAAGTGTAAGAAACAAATGCATAAGACAAAAGTAGTTCCCACTTTGTCCTATGTTTTAAAGAGATGGATATAAATAGATCAGAAAACAAGTACAGATGATGGAAGAGGAAACCATAGGAGAAAGGTACGTTTAAGGGGACAGAGCCACTTTAACAGAGTGGGACTTTCAATTTGAGAATAGGATGTTAAAATGTATTTATTTTTTATGCATATGTCGGTATATTTACAACAAAATGTCATGAAAATGGAAGTTTAAAAACAAAACCTTAGGTGGCATCATAATGTGTAAAACACCAATTTGTTTAAAGACCTAGAGCACAAATAAATAAATGATATTTATATTATGTGTCTGTAGAGTGAAGGTCCTTTTATTTCAGCTTAAGAAGTACACAGTACTATTATTTAATTTGTGTTTAATACTTTAGTATTACATAGCAATTGCTTTAACAACTTTATGCAAGGTTATAAAAAAAAATTTTTTGAAAGCCATTCAATAAATGCTAGAGCTGCATGTACCATTAAAATGCTACTGGTAAAATAACAAGTATTAAATGTCAACATAGTGATTCTGAAATGTCTGTGTGCGTAAGAATGCTTTATACCACTGATAACATCAGTACTGTTTTATATAGGCACCACTATGTGTTGTTGGGATTAATAAGAGGTTGTGTTTGGAACTCTCTCTGAATTTGTTGTTGAATTTAAATTCATGACGTTCATCCAGCAAGAGAAATTCCAGTCCACAATATAGCAGGCAACCAGTCCTGTTACTTTCTGGTTTGGTTAGCTTATTTGCACTGAAGTTAAGAGGCAGCATTTGCCCAAAGCACTTGCCTTACAAAGACTCTCATTGAGCTGCATTGGGAAGTCTGTGATTGGACAGCCACAGAATGTGTAGGCGGGGTTTGAAGAGGAGGGCTTGCAAAGGCTGCAGACAACAGATCTGCAGTTTTTGTAAGCTGTTTTTAGATTTAACTCCAATGAAAAAATACATAATTAAATACATGTAAGATTTCATTTAGGATAGATATACTGTTTAATGTGTATATATACACTAAACAGTAATTTTTGTTTTGGGCAGTGGAGTGTCCCTTTAAAAGGTTACTCCAAACATCATTCAAACAACTGTAGTGGTTATGATGTGAGCAATACCCTGGCACTGTTACCTGGTTTTCCACTTATCTGGATTCTGCCTGGGGCCGAGCTTGAAATGACAACGGCTACCCAGTATCCGGCTTCAGCAGCAACCGCATGCCGATCCTGCTGCTCATTCTTTGGCTAATTAACTTTTGTGCCTAAAATTTTCATTAGCTAGCCCACAACTCTTGTTCCTGGCTAGCTAATGTACGATTGTATAATATCGCTACGTGCATTTCATGCTGAAACACTGCACCTATGACTCCAAGCACAATGACCACTTCAAAACACTGAAATGGACGCAGTGCTTGGAGTAACCTTTTAAAATAGTCCCAGGCCCTTAACTCCAAGACTATTTAAGTTATTGGTCAGCAACATCCGGGCACAGTCTTGCCTTTAGTAGGTAAATTATTTTGGAATGGTTTTTTAACCCAAAGTGGGGGCATATGACAGCATCACCATCCTGGCGTACTTCCTTTCTGCCTCTACAGAATTAGAGGAAATGCTGAAGTATTAATGGTCCTAGAAGTGGCCTTCCAGTGAAGACTAGTTTGGCAGCTTACCCTGGGGTTATCCAGACATCCCTCCCCTTCAGACTGTTCTGGAGCTTCCATCAGGCGCACAGAAAACGCCAGGGAAGCTGTCAAACTGGTCTTGTGGCACCATAATCACAACATTGGCCTATCCCGGGGTGAGTTAAAGGGACACTGTCTCCTATTAAGAGTTAAATCGATCACTTTGTTTATGCAGCTCTAGACACATTCCCTTGATAAGATTCACATAGCCTCTTTATTGCACTTTGTTTAATAATGACTGCTATCCCCTGTACTGTTAATTGCTTGCTAGAGCCTGCAACAGCCTCCTGTGTGTAATCAAAATTCATATAACCGAACAGGAGCCAGAAACTATAAAGTGCTGTATAATCTGATTGAAAATTTAAACTTATTTACTTGGAGGCTTTGTGAGTCGTAACCAGGGGAAGTGTGGCTAGGGCGGTATAAACAGATACAAAAGTGATTTCATTCTTGGCTGAAAAAGTAAGACTGAAGATGTTTTGGTGTATAAATTATGCACCAGCATAGTTAACGTTTAAAAAAGCACCATATCCAATACAGCTCACCCACCCCTCCCCTCGATTTTAGAGCAGTTTGACTTTTAATTGGGATCAGCCAGACGCAGCTCCCTGGATGCACTAGAATCTGTCTGAGCTCCTCCTAGGTATAGGGGCTTCCAGCTCTGTTGATAGTGGATGCAGGGAGTTACTTTTGGCAGAATCCAGGTAAGAATTCAAATCTTTCTGGTATGGGGGTGACGGGGCATTTTGCTGTAGCGATTATGGTGTTTGCCATACCAGCATGTAAATGGAAAAACTATATAAAAAAAATTAAATAGCTAAGCTAGCTTTTAGGTTGTGCTAAAACTGAAGTCAATATAGGTGGTGGTAACAAAGGATGGTCCAGGCACTCAAGGTGAAATAAAGTTAAGCAGGTTTATTGGAGCAGAAATAAAAGATTCTTTTCGACCCCGTCGTTTGTTTGTTTTTTCTCCAATAAACCTGCTTAACTTGGTTTCACCTTGAGTGCCTGGACCATCATTTGTTACCACCACCTATATTGCCTTCAGTTTTAGCACCTAAAATTCTTTATCGTTTTTCCATTTACATGCTTGTATGGTAAATGTAAGGTAATGCCCGATCGCACATTGGAGTCCAGGATAGTTTGGTATCCTACACTTTAAAAAATAAAATAAATATAGATCAGGGGTTCCCAACCCAGTCCTCAACTACCTCCTACCAGTCCAGGATTTAGGGATTACCCTGTTATGTCTAAAGTTTTATTTTCGTATTTTTTTTTTTTTATTTATAAAAACACTTTAGACACAACTGGGTAATCGCTAAATCCTTGACTGATGGGGGTTACTTGAGAACTGGGTTGGGAACCACAGCTATAGGTGATGGTGGTTCAACTACCTTAAATTGAATTGGACTATACTGGAACATACAAAGAGTAAAACATGTTTCAGGTAGCGTCTTAATCATATATCCCACTTTAATTTAAGGCAGTTAAGGTGCTTTCACATTTGTTTATATTGGCTTACTATGGGTGAGAGCTAAGCAGAAGCCAGAGAGACCTGCAGTCATTTATTTAAAAATCAAAGAAGTGACAGTTCCCCTTTAGGAACTCTCTTGGTACTTAAGCCCAACATATCTATGGGTATACATTTTGGGGTTTCTACATTCAGGTAGAACCAACAGCGCAGGTCATTTTCTAATAAAAGGAAAGTATGAAGGTAGTATACCCGTATTGAGGTGCTAGAAAAACATAAGTGCTATGAGTAATAATACAGATGAGAGGCTGAACATACAAATCAAAAACAAAAAATAATTTATTGAGAAAGATATTAAAAATTGCCAAAGAATTGGCAATCACCCAAAGTGTAACACACAAACTAAATAAGGTGTAAAAACCTGAAATGTGTGTTACTCTTTGGGTGATTGCCAATTCTTTGGCAATTTTTAATATCTTTCTCAATAAATTCTTTTTTGATTTGTATGTTCAGCCTCCCATCGGTATTATTACTCATAGCACTTCGTTTCTAGCACCCCAATACGGGTATACTACCTTCATACTTTCCTTTTGATTCCACTAGGGGTTACCCCCCTTCTCCTTCAGTATACCAGAGTGAGCTGTACCCAATCTGTTTCTCATTTTCTAATAAAGCATAGCAATTACAGATCACACAACACACAGTGCTGCTTAGTCCGATTCATTTGCCGGATATGAAAGAATATTGAATAAGATCTGTATTGAGATGCTCGATAACCTGACGCAGATTGGCTAAACACCTCTGGCACATTAGGCCAGTGAGGGCGATTGATGTAAACCTCCCAGAAATGATAAACATTGGTACTCAGCCTTCTAATGACTTTCCTTTGTTTTCTACATTGCAGTCGCCTGACTCTTTTCCAGTCGTTTCATTGTAGGAGTCTTCTCGTTATGCTTATTCTCTTCTTCCTGGTAGCCAGCTTTCATTACTGCACAGATGTACGTAAACAGAACCTGTTTAGGAAAGGAAGACATTTCAATATTTCCCACAACAAATTATTATTTTTCATGTAATTTTAGAATGCACAAAGGATCTAGAAACTGTTGCAAATACACCTATTTTTATATAGATAATGCATCAGAACCAGATATCAAAGATTATTTGAAAGTCTCTGATTTTGCTACAAATCCACATGATTAGCAGGTTCCAGAAGTTATCTGTCTCTAGTCTAGAAAGCTGTAGAGGGATTTTAGTGCTAGTTTTGTTTTGAGTGGGAGTGCTGAATGTGTAGATCAACACTTTAGATCAGTTTCTTTCATGAAAAGACATGAATACAATTGCTAATAGAAGCAGTGTGTCGCTGCTTTCAGCTTGCTACTCGGCACCATATATTATTATCAATGGCATTTGTCACGCCAACTTATTCCACAGCACTTTACAATATCGAATGTTCATGGAGGTAAGCGTTGCTTAGTTTCCCCAATCTTAAAATGCCTACATGATATCCCTAACGAGAACATGGAAATACAGAGAACCTGTGTGTAGTGTTGAGGAATTTGTAAATATTATATTTAGTATAGTAAGTCAATGTTTTATAATTCAATATTTACATAAAATATGTATTAAACAACAAGGCTACTTTTAAATGGGCAGTCTAAGCACCATAACCACTACAGCATGTTGCAGTGGTTATAGTGTCAGCAGGCAATATTCAGCTGCTGCATAACTACTACCTGAACTGTAGTGGTTAGATAGCTACATCAATATTACGTCATTTAATAATAATTTTAAAAAAGGCGGCACTTACTTTCCACACTTCCTCCACCTCTGGTGTCCATTTTTCTTTCAAAATTGGGCGAATGGCAGATAGAAACTCTATCCCCACATACTGAAAAGGAAATCATGTTATTATTTCGTTTTTATAAGATATAGTACATTAATCTTAATATAGAATATCGAACCACCAACTTGAGCTAATTTTAAGATCTGTTCAGCATACAGATTGTGCTCCAAAATATGATCTGAATAGATTTCTAGCTAACTGTGGACACAGGTCAGAGTTCAGAAAGCTATTTATTGTTTCCTGGGAAGTGGGACCCAATGTACAAACCACATGTGATGGCAGCAGCCAGTCAGTATGTCTTTGTAAAGTTTTAAGTTTTGTCTTTTTTAATCCATAATGGTGAGGGAGAGGCTTGAAAATTGTGCGTAATTACAAGACGGCCACCTCCTCACTGCAAAAATAGCAATTCTTGGAGTGGCATTTCCTGCTAAATGTACTACATATTTTATTCTGAGTCCATCAAACGGAGTTATGGAAAGACTGATTCAGGTGACAATGTCACTTTAAAAATGGACAGTTAGCACCAAAACCACTACATCTCAATGTACATTTTCCGCACTGTAAAACTTGAAAGGAACACTATAGGATCAGGATCACTGGCCTCCCCTTAAATATAGTAAAAACTCACCTTATTTCCAGCGCTGCCCAGGTCTGTCGGCGCTGGCTTTCTCCCCCCTTCCCCTATATATGCAAACGATCACAATGCACAATATAATGGCTACAGATTAAATGGGCAATCATTTATTGAAACAAACACGGTTTATTATATATAAAATAAATGGACAAAACAAAAGCGGCCAAATACCAACTACTGAGCTTTGGCATATATAAGTTTATTATATGTACACATATCCGGTTAAAGGACCACTATAGGCACCCAGACCACTTCAGCTTAATGAGGTGGTCTGGGTGCCAGGTCCAGCTAGGGTTAACCCTTTGTATTTTTATTTTTTTATAAACATAGCAGTTTCAGAGAAACTGCTATGTTTATAATAGGGTTAATCCAGCCTCTAGCGGCTGTCTCTTGACAGCCGCTAGAGGCGCTTGCGTGCTTCTCACTGTGAAAATCACAGTGAGAAGACGCCAGCGTCCATAGGAAAGCATTGTGAATGCTTTCCTATGGACTGGCTGAATGCGTGTGCTTCTCCTGCCGCGCATGCGCATTCAGCCGAAGAGGAGGAGGAGAGAAGGCGGAGAGCTCCCCGCCCGGCGCTGGAGACAGAGATAAATTTAACCCGTTCCTCTCCCCAGAGCCCGGCGGAAGGGGGCACCCTCAGGACACTATAGTACCAGGAAAACGAGTATGTTTTACTGGCACTATAGTGGTCCTTTAACCGTATGGGCACAGCAGTTCAGAAGCCCTATTTTGAGACATTTGGAGATGTTCATATAACTAAATTCAGCGAGTTCTAGAACAGCTAAATCTGGCAACTTGTTTTGATTTGTGTTTGTTTTTTGTTGATAAGAGAATGGCTGATTTGGTTGAGTGTACTGAATGATAAGAGAAGTAACATGATTTACCTGATAATATCTAGGAGGTGCCTTGTATCTGTAATGACTCCTTCCAAGCTCAAAGAGGAATTTTTCCAGACGAGTTACATTTTCTATCCGGGCTACACTCTTCTCCACAACGGATAGGACCCTGGCAGGGGAAATGGAGATCAATAAAATAGAAGAAGATCAGTCACAACCTGTACATGTAGGCCCTAATATCTATGCTTAGAGAGCATACCAATTTCAATGCTTCACAAACCATTTTACAGTTTGTTATTATATTAATATTCCTCCTCATACGGATCACTTTGTAGACCACACACAATGCTCACATAGGTATCCAAGCTTCCTGCTCTTTGATACCTACTTTAGTCTACTCTAAGCTATTTACTTGCAGCAGCATCTGATGTGGTTTACGCCATTACAATAGTGGAATTAACCACTTATTCTTTGATTTGGGGGTTTCCCAACAAGGCAAGTCCTTCAGGTCCAGGATTGAGAATAGCATGCAAGTGCCCACTGGATTTAAAGGAACACTATAGTCACCTAAATTTAGCTAAATGAAGCAGTTTTAGTGTGTAGATGATTCCCCTGCAATTTCACTGCTCAATTCACTGTGTCCCTTTAAATCTTTGAAGTGTTAAACTAATTTATTTTAGGAAAGTATTGTTTAAAGGGACACTGTAGTCACCCAGACCACTTCATCTCATGTGGTCTGCGTGCAGTGCTCCCGTCCCCTTAACCCTGCGATTGATAAACTGCAATCATTACCTTGCAGGGTTAATGCCACCTCTAGTGGCTATCTTTCGGGTACTTCGCAGACTTTTGGTCCACTAACTGACCATCTGCATGCTTTGCATGAGGACATCCAGCATCAGCTAAAACCCCATAAAAAAAAGCATTGATTTAGTGCTTTCCTAGGGGAAAGTCCTAATGCAAACAGGGCAATCGCTGTGCATGCACATTAGGTTCGGCTGACGGCAGAGGAGTGGAGGTGGAGCCTGACATTGGCGCTGGAATTATTGTAAGTGACCAAAGTGTTTTAAACTCTATATCGGATGCATGAAAGGTACTATAGTGCTAGGAATATGTAGCAGAGCTCCCTGTACCCCGGCTGGGTGCCTCCGCCAAAGGATTGATTCATAGCTGGAACAGGGGACAAACCTCAGCACTCCTGCCCCCAGTCACCGTGACTTGACTGGGGTCCTGGAGCCGAATGGGGGAACTTGCTCTATCCACTCCCAGGCACTGGATGACACTCAGTCCTCAGAGCTCTAGTCCTTACAAGGACTTTCCCTGTTGAATCGTCCACACTGGAACAAGCTAGAGTAGAGATTAGCCCTTTCCCCTCCAGTAACCATTCAACACATTCAGTTCTGGGAGTACAAGCTGGAATGCTTTAATCTGGCCAGATGCTCTGCTTTTATACATTTATGGACACAGTCAAACACACCCATGACACTCCCACACAAAACAAAATCCCTCCCCTGTTCCTCGGAGATAATGGAGTCAGGAACTGTACAAACTCAGTTATCCCCAGGTACAGAAAAACATACCATTTACAAACACCCCAAAGGTACCTTCAATAACCACGAAAACCCCACAAAAGTCACATCCCCTGATAGCCTCGATTTGGGTGACCAAAATATCCCAAAAATCACCCAGATCGGTTCAGGGGTTCGACTTTTAAATGGAAGTAAATTATTTAACCGACCGCGCACATGGTCCTATGCTCAAAATAGTTCCATGAAATCAGGGCTAGTTGTCCGTCAACTTCGGTAACAAAAATACGAACTAAATACTGAACATAGTCTCTATTTGAACTGTGGAACTTGTTCCCCTAATCCAGACAAAAGTTTCCACCGTTTTAGTTCCATAAACTTGACAACCAGACACTGCTGCCTGCGTTCATGCGAACAAGCTGGCTGCCACCTCGTGGTCGTTCATACGAATTGAGGCCACACAGACAAACAATTAGAACATTGAGGTGAGAACCGTTCCTGGGTGGTCCCTGGTTCGTGTGGTTGTTCGGTTCCCGAGTGATATAGGGAAATTACACGAACCAAGCCATTTAAACAGACTTTTACAGTTTTCCCTGCAGGGCTCATAGTCTGTGGGCAGGAGGCTGGCAAGCAGGCTCCTCCAGGAGCTCGTGGCAAACTCACGTGGAAGGGGAGTTTGTCACAGAATCCAACAAGATAAAATTTAACTTTTTTTCCCTTAATATAATAAAGATGAGCTTTTTATTGAATCAGTTCATAGTTGCAACACCAATCTTTTTCCTTAAACAATTTCCTTACATTTTTCTCTGAGCTGGTTAGATCTGTCATCTCACACATTTAGCTAATTATCTTCCTCTCTAAATATACACCATCAATCAGAATACACCAGCCTTCTGTAAGCCACCATAGGACACATCATTTTAGTTAAAAAACCACAGCTGTATGGGAGCTTTAGAACAGAAGGGGTAACACCATGAGTTCTCAGTGCAACTACCCTCAACCTTAGACAGAACCCTCTGGGAAAAAACAAATTATACAGGATGCACATTTTTTTTTCTCTACCATATTCATCTAAAGGTTAGATTTCCAAGTACCATAAAAGAAAATGCTAAAAATGCAATATTGTGGAGGTTTCAACCCAGCTTGTTCCAACAAATATGAAAATGACATTGACAGAAAGTTGAGACAAAGTCTATGAAGAACATTCTTCACAAACCAGTTGGTTAATTGATTAGCCAGATCATCTCATTGTTTGTTATAGGACAATAGGCATGCCAACTGAACTGCAAGTTCATGACTGACTGACACACCAGTACTGCCTTTAGCTACACGATCAAACCGCAGAATCAAGGATCAGATTGTCTGTGTTCCAAAATAATCTAGAATACGAGATGGATCATATAGAAAATGGGGGGAGGGGGTGTGGGGGGGTGGGGGGGGGAAATACCTCTGAAAATTGGGTTCCCAAAAGCTCAAAGGGCTAAAACATTATTATACATTTTTATTAAATTCCTTTAACAGTTTTGGTTATAGGTGATTCTATTATTCTAATAAGTAGAGGCCTGAGGATTTACTGCTGATTGGCCAGAATAGATCTCATTAGAAGTACAGTCCTCCAGCTGGATCTGTTACAGTGTGTGTGTTTTAGCCATTCGACAAGAACTGAAGACAGTGAGGGTTATGTGATGAAAATGAGATCCTTACCTTAGTCCGTGGGCACGTAATTCCTTACTCAATTTCAGATCATCCACATCATGAAAGAGAAAAAACACATCCTTGCATTCCGGGTGGGTTTCAAAGAGCCTGAAATTATCAAAATATGTATTAGCTTGTGTCCTTATCGATGCCTATGCATAAAAACCAAAAATAAGGTAAAAGCGGTTAGGAATAGGTGCTACAATCACCAATGTGAGTCACTCATTCACATAAAACAAAACCATCCAGTAGGTCAAAATCAGTGGATGGTGAGAGCACACTAATAAGTATAATAATGCACGTTACCCTTATTGCACGTTGAGTTATTACAACAATCCCTCCTATAAATATAAAAACAGGGAGAATACCAACATAGGGTAATAACGCAGCAACTAAATACAGTTTAAACTGTGAATTGGTAACACTCACATGGCCATGAGGCACTTAATAAAAGCTGTCTCAGACTAGAAGCTTATCAGATGAATGCACTTTGTAGACTACTCCATGTTGTATCCCCTCGGTGGTCCTTGGTTTCTGCTACTTTAAATACTTCAGGATGCAGGAAGTATCACAAAAACACTTTATTACAGGTAACTGGATAAAAAGACAATAAAAAAACTAAAAAGTCCACTGTGCATAAATGCATTGTGGAGTATTTAAAGTAGCAGAAACCAAGGACCACCGAGGGGATACAACTTGGAGTAGTCTACTAAGTGCTTTCATCTGATAAGCTTCTAGTCTGAGCCAGCTTTTATTAAGTGCCTCATGACCACTGTCAAACAGGTTTATTTACTAAACTAAACATTTTAAGTAAAATTTAAAATGAATTACAAATTTACGGCCAGAGTAGCCAAACAAAAGCACAGCTCATTAAGAGAATTTTCCCTGTTGACCGGGGGGATATGATAGAAACATTTAAATACATAAAGGGAATCAACACAGTAAAGGAAGAGACTATATTTAAAAGAAGAAAAACTACCACAACAAGAGGACATAGTCTTAAATTAGAGGGACAAAGGTTTAAAAATAATATCAGGAAGTATTACTTTACTAAGAGGGTAGTGGATGCATGGAATAGCCTTCCAGCTGAAGTGGTAGCGGTTAACACAGTGAGGGAGTTTAAGCATGCGTGGGATAGGCATAAGGCTATCCTAACTATAAGATAAGGCCAGGGACTAATGAAAGTATTTAGAAAATTGGGCAGACTAGATGGGCCGAATCGTTCTGATCTGCCATCACATTCTATGTTTCTAAATGTGAAATTCACTTTGAAGTCCTGACAATTCTCACTTTAGTAATAACACTCTTCCTCCTGGGGCAGGGCAGAAAGTCAAATTATGTCCTCACAGACACACTGCTGAACAAGGCACTCAGCCTACCCCACCCTAAGTGGAATTCTAATACACCCTTGAAAAGCAGTATTGTTTCTTTTTTTATAAACAAAAAAGTTAAATAAAAATACAGAGATGGGACATAGTGCCCTGTGTATATACTGTACGTGAACATTCGGGTAAAGGTTACAATTCTGAAATTGTTCCCTGGGAACCCAAATGGAGTCTGCTATCATGCTTGGGGACCATGCAAGGGATCTGCACTCCCTTATAATTATTCAAAATCAAATCCCAAAGATTTCACATAGTGCAAATAAAATTATATACAATGTTTGGGCATCAAGCCATAAACATACACAAGGATTGACGTCAAAATGTTGTATATAATTTTGTTCTCCTGATCCTGAATAAAACGCCTTTCTATTTGCAGTACTCTGCGAAACCTTTGGAATCTGATTTTGAATATTTCACACGGGTTAAGGAGATGTATTCTAGAATTTCCACTGTCCATCTTCAACTCACCCACCCCATTATTCATAAAATTATCTGCAACTTAATACAAATCATATAGACTATTATAATGAGAACGTCCAAGCCATCCTGCTGTACTCAATCTATATAGCCCTAGACACATCCTTAAATAGTTAGCTGGACATTATATCCCTGAAAGAATGTAACACTTCTCGAATGACGTGCAAATTGACAATATCCACATGTCATGTTTTGAGATTTTCACCCCACATTCTGTACGGTCTTTGCAATGCAGATAACGCGCGTGTTCGGATGTTAATGATCGACTGCTCAGAATCAGTACAGGAATTATTTTGGAAAGAATCAAGCCTATGCTATAAAGCATTAAATATTTTTCTAGAAGTGCCAGGGTCTCTCATTATCCACCCCAGTAAATTCGAGTGAGATAACCTGCACATTTGCTTTTTTGTTTACTTCTAAAAATGCATAAGGTTCAAGTTGAAACTTTAAGATAGCAATCAAATTGTGTAAAAACTCTTATTGTGACAGTTCCTTTTAAGTTGCTGTGAGAAAAAATAAATAATTAAATGTTCATAATATAAAGTACTTTCTCAAATAAAATGCTTCACAGCGTCTGCAATATATATATATGCACACACGAAAAAAGAATACCAACCAAAAATATGCCACAACTCTTAAAAATAGTGTCTCTCCCAGGATGTCATGTAAAATGTGTACAGATAATCAGAAAATGTTTGTATTTAATGGAAAACACATGGATTCCTGAAATGGAATTCAAGCAGAACTAAGACTGTCGTGAGAAAATGCCCTTTTCTTTTTAAGTTAATTCATAGGAAACAATTGACAAAGAAAATACAAGGAGGTGTATATAAAAATCATGGATATTAATTTTTAAACCATGTGACGGTTACATTAAATCCTATTCCTTTTAAAAAGCCTTGTATAACTATACATTAACGTTGTGATACGTAGCAGTGTTTTTACTCTGTATCTGTCCCGACCGATGCTTCCTGGGTCTGCTCCCAAGAAAAGACATCTTCTCTTTAGAACTGCCCTATTCGGCTCTTGTAGCAATACTTCCACTGTATAACTAAAGCATTGCGGAATATGTTCGCGCTATATTAACGCTGATAAATCTATAAGCAGATTTCTTTTTTGGCAATCTTTATTTTATTGAGGCATTACCATGAGCATAGCAGTCAGCAGTGGAAAGCATTCAGCAAGGTTAGCCTCTTTCATTTTTTATTGCGTGTATGGTATAAATGGAGCTGGTTGTTATGACATGTCTTTAATCCGAATCCTAATCTAGGCAAAAAACAATAGGGGTTTTGTTATAACTAAACCCCCATTGGTTTTTGCCTAGATTAGGTGTTTTTAATAAAACTAGCAAAATAGCTGTTTAGCAGATAAGGGAGTGCGCTGGATTTTCATTTTTACTGTACTTATTGGCCCCCAGCAGCACCCCATTTAAGCATGTTTAGGGGAGTGCAGCCAGCCCCTGGTTTTCTCATTTAATACGAATCCTATCAGGAGCAGATACCCTTTGGTGGTAATAAAGGTTGAGCAGCAAGGTTAAGGTAGCAATAAACAGACATATGGCACCAATATCAGGCGATTCATTTAGCTCACAACAGGTGGGCTAAAAGTAGATTTCAACCCAACAACCCTCTCTCTGCAGGCGCTATAATAGAGGCACAGATAATTGGTGTATATTATCACTTGTATCGAGGTGTAAGGTCTGTGGGAGATGTTCGATACCTAGCTCACTCAATACTTGCTTTCTCTGCATACTTAATTAAGGAACCCTCCTGGGGGTCTCTACAGATATAGATCAAATTGTGTATGTATTTGGTTTTTGAATGGCTTATAACGTTATCCATATAGAATCATTAATAAGTGTAAACAATTGTAAAAAACGTAATTATAAATTGCTTTCTTACAGGATCGTGGGGAGTGGGTCAAAAACAAGTGATATATGTAATCGTAACTTGGGATCTCTATCATTTGGATTGAAAATGGGACCAAGTCTTAACATGTATAGTTTGGAAGAAATACGAGACGGGCGGATATGATAGAAACATTTAAATATGTAAAAGGCAATCAACATAGTAAAGGAGGAGACTATATTTAAAAGAAAGGAAACTACCACAACAAGAGGTCATAGTCTTGAATTAGAGAAGCAAAGGTTTAAAAACAGTATAAGGAAGTATTACTTTACAGAGAGGGTAGTGGATGCATGGAATAGCCTTCCAGCTGAAGTGGTAGAGGTTAACACAGTGAGGGAGTGGATGCGTGGGATAGGCATAAGGCTATCCTAGATATAAGAGACTAATGCAAATATTGAGAAAATTGGACAGACTAGATGGGCCGAATGGTTCTTATTTGCCGACACATTCTATGTAAATCACCAATAAGTCTTTATTTTGTGGGATCCTTCATCTCGGCTATTTTAATAGTGTAGTCTACTTTGGCTTAAATTATGTAATCTCCTTGTTAATTCTTTATTTAATGAAAAATCTCATAGGTGGGAGAACAGTTCACAGACTTCTAGTTCGTACCTGCATATACGTAACAATAATATATTATATACACATACATATGCACACACTCAATATACAGCTACTATAACCAATATCACAATAACCATATTACACCATCGTATCTCCTTACATAAATCTCTCCTCTCCATTCTGGAAGGGAACCGCATAAATTCAGTGGGTTAACACGAGCAGTCACAGATATAAAAACCTCTTCCGACAGTTCTAGACAGTTGTTTATTTGCCAACTTCAGATATCTTTGTGTTTTTTGGAGTTAAAAGAAAAAGTTGCGAGGGGGGCTGTAACCTACGTTAATAATCTCTTACAATAGGCCTGGTTGTTTACTTTATCTGCCTCTAGTTTAAGCTACTTGCATTTTGCATGTTTCTATGACCTTACTATTAATGTATTGGCCTAATGCGAATAAGCTTGTTTTCTTAAAAAAAATAAAAATAAAAAAAAAGGGCAGTACATCTTGACCTTACTTCTTTAAACATTGTCTTCACACCTCTTGTTATAAGTCAAAGTCAATACGAAAGCTTATACTTAACACTGCACGGCTAAAATAAAATAAAAAAAGATTAACAGACAATGAGGGAGATTTATTAAGAAAAAAAAAAAAACAGGTGCTGTTATGGGGCAAATATTCTGGAGCTAAATCAGGAGCTATCACCATGGAAACCAATAGACCATCTCAGCATTTAGTAATTTGCAGTTAAAATGAAATGTTTTCGCCGATAAATTTTAAATGTGGTTTAAACCTTACCTGATAAAGACAATGACTCCAACCTTTGCAATATCCTGCTTAAGGAGTTCCCACGTCTCTATAAGCAGCTGCTGTTGTTGCGGAGTTAGGCCCAGTGTAGGTAGAAGGGGTTCAGGTGTGACATGGTCCTTAGAAGGTGTCCGAGGCCACTTCAATCCAGAAAGAACACAACCCATCACTGCCTTTCTGGAGCGGTTTTATTGCATGAGTTCTGGGGGGGAAAAAAAGTCAGGTATCCCTAACCCGCTTCCTAATCCTGTGTAATAAGAGCATATAACAGAGTGCGCCTTAGGAAATAAGGCATCAAGTGATCTCGCACAGGACCAGCCACTCTAACCGCTTCCTAATATCTGCTACGCAAAAGTAACTGCATCTTGTTTTCTAGTGAAATCACCAGGCTCCTGCTGTTAAAAGGGGAAGGCAGTGAGAGCCTACTCAAAGTCCTCAGATGTTGTACGTCTGCCGTGGCTCCGGGGAAAGAAGGCTGACATGCTAATAACCTATTATAGCTAGAGAGATGTGAGCAAGTCACAAAACTGCCTGAGTGACAAAGCAGCCCTTTTCCTGACAGGATCCATGTCACCCTGTGCTCAGTGTCCCTTGTCAATTAAAGTGCACACAAAAGGAGCTGCATCTGGCTGACACTGGGGGCATAAAAAGCCAGACCGGTTATTGCAGGGTTTGTAAGCAGTCAACAAATAACCGAGACTAATTTGTCAAGTGTCATAGAAGAAGATGCTCCGCACCACGTTGGAGGCCCTGCTGTACATTAATCTGCCGTGGTGTTAGATTAGCAGTGCTTTTGGTCTCCGGCTACCTACAGCTAATAGCTAAGACTTTGAAAGAGAAAAATTAAAGGGTGTGAAATTCCTGGTTAAAAACAGACAGTGGTCATTACAATTCCCAGCTTTGGGAATCCCTGAATACATTTTATACAGAACATCTGCTTTTTTGTGTTTGTTTGTTTTATAGAAACATAGAATGTGACGGCAAATAAGAACCATTCGGCCCATCTAGTCTGCCCAATTTTCTAAATTAATACATTTTGTATTTTATAGATTACATTTGATGCAGTAGACCTGCAAAAAGGCCCTAGAGCGGAAACAATGTTTCGTTCCCAGTTTATCGCACCAAATCACCGCTACTGGAGGAGTTAACAATATATATGATTTAATATACATTACAATTGCATTTAGCCCTCATATCTCGACACTAAATATAACAGACATCGTTATCAATACTGGTCAAATATCGGTTTTATTTATGGTTGAGGTTTGTGATTTAATTACGCTGATCGTGGTGATAATGCTCGTAAATACAGATGGTGCACATTACATTTCTCTATATGTGTATAATCAATTTAGGTTGATTCTTCAGCTCCCTGTTAATTGTGTTTTAAATAGGACTTGCGTTTCAAAGCATTTAAAGACAAATCACAGAAACAAGGTTTTAGCATTATCCTTGTGTCAAAATGTGTTAATATTACATATGTTTTAACATTTTAATCTATTCAAATAAGCATTATCAGCTCCCTAACAGGATAGAGGAGAATTAAGAGCAGTGAGAGGTTGGGGTGTAACAAGCTCCCTCTCCCAACCTTTCTTGTTCTTCATTTACTGACCGTATCTGCTGCAGCCAAATCAGATTACAGTAAATTACATTTATACCTTTCAATGCCAGGAGAGGAAGCAATGCTATTACTTCAGTGTTACTTTACAGGGAGTGCAGAATTATTAGGCAAGTTGTATTTTTGAGGATTAATTTTATTATTGAACAACAACCATGTTCTCAATGAACCCAAAAACTCATTAATATCAAAGCTGAATATTTTTGGAAGTAGTTTTTAGTTTGTTTTTAGTTTTAGCTATGTTAGGGGATATCTGTGTGTGCAGGTGACTATTACTGTGCATAATTATTAGGCAACTTAACAAAAAACAAATATATACCCATTTCAATTATTTATTATTACCAGTGAAACCAATATAACATCTCAACATTCACAAATATACATTTCTGACATTCAAAAACAAAACAAATCAGTGACCAATATAGCTACCTTTCTTTGCAAGGACACTCAAAAGCCTGCCATCCATGGATTCTGTCAGTGTTTTGATCTGTTCACCATCAACATTGCGTGCAGCAGCAACCACAGCCTCCCAGACACTGTTCAGAGAGGTGTACTGTTTTTCCTCCTTGTAAATCTCACATTTGATGATGGACCACAGGTTCTCAATGGGGTTCAGATCAGGTGAACAAGGAGGCCATGTCATTAGATTTTCTTCTTTATACCCTTTCTTGCCAGCCACGCTGTGGAGTACTTGGACGCGTGTGATGGAGCATTGTCCTGCATGAAAATCATGTTTTTCTTGAAGGATGCAGACTTCTTCCTGTACCACTGCTTGAAGAAGGTGTCTTCCAGGAACTGGCAGTAGGACTGGGAGTTGAGCTTGACTCCATCCTCAACCCGAAAAGGCCCTACAAGCTCATCTTTGATGATACCAGCCCAAACCAGTACTCCACCTCCACCTTGCTGGCGTCTGAGTCGGACTGGAGCTCTCTGCCCTTTACCAATCCAGCCACGGGCCCATCCATCTGGCCCATCAAGACTCACTCTCATTTCATCAGTCCATAAAACCTTAGAAAAATCAGTCTTGAGATATTTCTTGGCCCAGTCTTGACGTTTCAGCTTGTGTGTCTTGTTCAGTGGTGGTCGTCTTTCAGCCTTTCTTACCTTGGCCATGTCTCTGAGTATTGCACACCTTGTGCTTTTGGGCACTCCAGTGATGTTGCAGCTCTGAAATATGGCCAAACTGGTGGCAAGTGGCATCGTGGCAGCTGCACGCTTGACTTTTCTCAGTTCATGGGCAGTTATTTTGCGCCTTGGTTTTTCCACACGCTTCTTGCGACCCTGTTGACTATTTTGAATGAAACGCTTGATTGTTCGATGATCACGCTTCAGAAGCTTTGCAATTTTAAGAGTGCTGCATCCCTCTGCAAGATATCTCACTATTTTTGACTTTTCTGAGCCTGTCAAGTCCTTCTTTTGACCCATTTTGCCAAAGGAAAGGAAGTTGCCTAATAATTATGCACACCTGATATAGGGTGTTGATGTCATTAGACCACACCCCTTCTCATTACAGAGATGCACATCACCTAATATGCTTAATTGGTAGTAGGCTTTCGAGCCTATACAGCTTGGAGTAAGACAACATGCATAAAGAGGATGATGTGGTCAAAATACTCATTTGCCTAATAATTCTGCACTCCCTGTTATAACATTCACTTGCTGGCAGTCTGTGCTCCCAAACAGACCCTGGATGCCAAATTGGAGCCCCCTGTGAGAGCTTAGGGCTCTGTTCAGTGGTTGTACTGTAGGGCTTAGAGGAGGAGAGCGACCAGAAATTCCTGTTTAAAGGGACACTATAGTCACCAAGTCCACCATCACATTGAACATGGTCTGGGTGCAGCGTCCTTGTGCTTTTATCCCTACAATATAAAACATTGCCGTTTAGGAGAAACTAATGTTTACATTGCAGGGTTAAGTCCAGCTCTAGAGAACGTCAGTACTACATGTGTATTAGGAGGAGCACTGAACTGGACATCATTGACGTTGCAGAAGGCAGAGAGGAAAACAGCGCCTAAGATGCTGATAAAAAGGTATGTAAAACTTAATTTTTTAACATTTTAATGCACTGGGAGGGAGGATGAAAAACATGTGGACACATACACTACAGATTTGTACACCTAAAGCGATTATGTTCCTTTAACAACTTGCGGCTCTCCGGCATCGATAGTGGTGGCGGGGTGCGGCTCTCAGCAGGCACCAAGTAAGACGCCAAACCATACAAAAATTTTCTGAATTCTTACACTTGAGGCGGACTCAAGGTAATCCTGACACCATAACCACTGTGGCTTGCTGTAGTGATTATGGTGCTGTGAAAGTTCCTTAACTGCTAAAATTGCAAAGAGATAAGTGCAATACACAGAGGAAACAATACAAGTCGCTAAGAAAAAATAAAAAGAGAATGAACCACTCCACAAATCTCCATAAAAGGAGTACACTGCAGGATTAGTTGATAATGTGCAAATGGTCAGGAAATTACAGCTAATAGGAAGAGGAATTTAAATGACATGACATAATAGCCGAAATAGAACAATTCTCAGTCTGCCATGTGTCCGGTTTGGCTATCTTGTTATTATAACACATTGCTGAATAACCCTGTAAAAACTAAAGCTAGATTAACCTGAATCAACGGGAAGAAATTAAAGAATAAAACAAAGCAAAGCAGCAATGTAGTTTATGTGGATGGTAGAGCAGTGATAAGGAAGGTAAGTGTCCTGGTAATTGGAGCCGATAGGAAAATATAACCATGCAGGGTAAGGAGACAAGATCTGACTTACAGAGAGCAGGATTAAGGTCAGGTGTCGATGCAGAAACAAAACATTACTCATTGTACCATCAGAAAATAGAGAGAGAGAGAGAAAGAGAGAGAGCGCGCGCAGGCAGAGAGCACACGCGCAGGCACAGAGAGAGCGCGTGCTAGCAGGCACAGAGAGAGAGCGAGAGAGCGCGTGCTAGCAGGCACAGAGAGAGAGCGCGTGCTAGCAGGCACAGAGAGAGAGAGAGAGAGAGAGCGCATGCTAGCAGGCACAGAGAGAGAGAGAGAGCGCGTGCTAGCAGGCACAGAGAGAGAGAGAGAGAGAGCGCATGCTAGCAGGCACAGAGAGAGAGAGAGAGAGAGCGCATGCTAGCAGGCACAGAGAGAGCGAGCATGCACACGGTAATCCCAAAAAATCAATTACACAAGAGACTGGGAACTGAACTAACAAATACAAAGTCAAACCCTAAATAGAAAGCCTTAATTGCATGCTGGCTTAGCAGCCTTATGTGCTGCTAGCATGGCAGCCATTCAGCCTGGCGTGCATAGATTCCAGGCTGGCATGCCCTCTCCCTCTGCACGTTTGTCTACAAAGTGTATGGTAAGCGGTTTTCTTGCTGAATTTCACAACCAATTAGGAGCAGAGAAGATAGATGGAACTCAAAGGAACACTATAGTGTCAGGAACACAAACATGTATTCCTCACAGTATATTGCTAAAATGACCATTTAGGTCCCCTGGGTCCTTCTCTTTCACTTACAAATGTGATGATCTGAGCCAATCCAATGCTTTCCCACAGAAAAGCAAAGGGAGGCTATTGCGCATGAGTGGCAAAAAGCAGCACTGCGCCAGTGAACAGCTCGTACAGACATATCACTGAGGTGAAGTGGTCCTGGTGCCTATAGTGTCCCTTTAAGACATGGAGAATGCTGATGTCAAAAGGTATGACATGAAATATCCAGGCAGCCTCAATCAACATGAATGAGCACTCAAGAGTACTGAACACGCCTGTTTTGACCCGTGAGGATGATTTGTTGAGTATGGTCTCATCTCACCCACCTGCAGAACCTTAACGGACCCCATACATACCCATCATAAAATGGCAGCCTGGTCAGCCCCCGGTGCTGCATCTTCCCAAGAAACACCCCTGGGATAGGTGTAAGCAGTGGTGTATCCTGGTTTTGTGCTGCCCTAGGCAGGACAAAACTCAGGCATCCCCCTCCCCCTGCGCCACCCCCACCCGACCCTTCCCCCCCACCCCACCTTCTAAATACACACACACATACACAGTCAGACACAAACACAC